GCATGAGTTTACTCAAACTCGTTCCAACCTTTACTGTAGCTACTATCAGTCTGAGAGTAAAAGAGATGCTCATCAGCAGTCTGCTTATCACTCTCTTTCTCCCTATGACAAAAGTTCAATTGGCGGGGCGAATCATAGACTACAGTTGGCTGGAAAAGCCGCAGCAAGTGCAGCGCAGTGGCAGGCATTGATCAAGTGCCAAGCAACTGTCGGCGTAATCACTTTCGATGGCCGTAGTTCAAGTCTAGTGCCGCCAAACGATTTGACCAGGCAGTGATGTTAGATCGAGAGAAAGAGAGAGAAAAAAGTCGGACGAGGAAAAGAGACACTTTCTTACGCTCGTCAAACAGGTTTTATACTTGTGTAATCGACCAAACGGCAGATTGTAAACAAATCGTCATAGTGGTGGCTGTGAAGAGAGACGCTTATCGGCTGGCTAACGGACGTACCTGATTTCCTTCACCATTGAGCTTTTCAACATAAACTCGACCAATTGTGTGTTTGCTGCTCTTAATCGCCATTCTAATTAAACACTGTGCCACGACAAATCATCACAATATTATTACAATGCTCTCAACACTTCGTTCAGCCAGCAAGCTAGGCAGTAGCTTCTGTAAAGTTCGCAACCACCTGCTGAAAGTGGATGCAGTTCGGTAATGAGCATTCAAACACTCACTTTCTCGCTTCAAAAATATTAAATATTTTTTTCTAGAAATGTCAGCCAAGCCAACATTGATATCAAACGATTGGAAAAGGTGGTCATTCCAGAGAGTGATTCCTTCATTCAGAACATCTTCACTGGGGAAGCCAAAGTGCAAAACTTCTTCCCCTACCCCAAAGTGCTGTCTGCCGAAGAGTTTAGCTTTGTGGAAATGATCACCGAGCCGGCTGAAAAAATATACTCAANAAGCCAAAGTGCAAAACTTCTTCCCCTACCCCAAAGTGCTGTCTGCCGAAGAGTTTAGCTTTGTGGAAATGATCACCGAGCCGGCTGAAAAAATATACTCAACTGAGTACGACCCGCTTAAGGTAGAAGAGACCGGCGAGCTTGATGAGAAACACCTTCAGCTGCTCAAAGACATGGGCGCATTTGGAGTCATGGTAGGCTTCCTGTACTTTAGTATTTTCACAGTATTTCTAATTTCTAATTTCCNTTCCTTCATTCAGAACATCTTCACTGGGGAAGCCAAAGTGCAAAACTTCTTCCCCTACCCCAAAGTGCTGTCTGCCGAAGAGTTTAGCTTTGTGGAAATGATCACCGAGCCGGCTGAAAAAATATACTCAACTGAGTACGACCCGCTTAAGGTAGAAGAGACCGGCGAGCTTGATGAGAAGCACCTTCAGCTGCTCAAAGACATGGGCGCATTTGGAGTCATGGTAGGCTTCCTGTACTTTAGTATTTTCCCAGTATTTCTAATTTCTAATTTCCCACCATCTGAAACGTAGGTACCGCCAGAGTACGGGGGCATGGGACTCAACAATACGCAGTATGCTCGTCTGGGCGAGGTGACCGTTGGCTTTGACCTGGGAATCACCATCTTCCTGGGCGCCCACCAGTCTATTGGCTACAAGGGACTGCTGCTCTACGGAAACAAGGAACAGAAGGAAAGATACCTGCCGGAACTGGCCAGCGGCTCGAAGATTGCCGCCTTTGCACTGACTGAGCCGTCAGCCGGCTCAGACGCTAGTGGCATCAAATCACGAGCAGTCCTTTCCGAAGACGGCAAAACGTGGACTCTCAATGGCTCAAAGATTTACATCAGCAACGGCGGCATTGCCGACTACTTCACCGTCTTTGCGCAGACCGCCGTGCGGAGTTCCAGTGGTGAAATGAAGGACAAGGTGACCGCCTTCTGGGTGCCCAGAACCGAGGGCGTCAGCAATGGTCCTGCCATGAAAAAGATGGGCATTAACGCCTCAAACACGACCGAAGTTTTCTACGATAATGTGAAAGTGCCTTCAGAGAATGTAATTGGTCAAGTTGGCGATGGCTTCAAGGTGGCCATGAACATCCTCAACAATGGCCGCTACGGCATGGTCTGCGGCCTGTCGGGCACCATGCGCCGAGCCATTGCAATGGCCACTGCCCACGCACAGAACCGATCTCAGTTCGGCAACAAACTGGCCTCATTCACTGGCATTCAGGAGAAGATTGCGGAGATGTCGATGAAGCACTACGTGACACAGTCGATGGCCTACATGATCAGGTAACAATGGCTCATTCGGGTTGACAACATTCACCAAACAAATGCTTCCTTAAATAGTGGCCTAATGGACAACGGAGTGAAGGACTACCACCTTGAAGCTGCACTCTCAAAGATTTACGCGTCTGAAGCTGCTTGGTACGTGGTCGACGAGACGCTTCAAATATTCGGCGGTCAGGGATACATGCGGGAAATGGGTTTGTGATGAGCAATTTCATAAAGTGCAAGCAGGTTGAGTGACCACTTTTATTCATTTCAGGAATCGAAAAGATGCTCCGAGATGTTCGAATTTTCCGCATCTTTGAGGGAACCAATGAAATTCTGCGTCTCTTTGTGGCACTGACTGGTAAGAATTGAGAGTTTACCGACATTGCAATGGATAACATTTGTCTCCCACTTAACAGGTATGCAGTACGTCGGTGGGCATTTGCGAGAGATCCAGCGCGCCATGAAGAACCCAGTGGGAAACTTGGGCATGATCTTCAATGAGGGCACCCGTCGAATTAAGCGCTCAGTAGGCCTAGAGACACCTGATATTGCTCAATACGTTCACCCTGAGTTCCACCCAGAAGCACAGCAACTGGCGAAAAATATTTTGACTTTTAGCTCTTCGGTGGAGCACCTTCTCATCAAGTACACACAGGGCATTATCCACGAGCAAATGCTCTTGAACCGACTGTCCAATGCGGCCATTGATATCTACACATCACTGGTGGTTCTCTCGCGTGTCACTCGAGCGCTGGAAAAGAATGTACTCAGTGCAGAAATTGAGAAGAATATGGCTAAAGTTATTTGCTCAGAGGTAAGTTATTTTGACATTTGACTCAACTTCAACCTAACATTTCGACGCAACTTTTAGGCCAACATAAGAATTGCACGCAATTTGGGATCACT